TCTCATCACCCAGGACCAAGGTTAGCTGTGTCACCTCAATCTGGAGTCTCTCCACCTCATGGCTTGGAAACTCCCTGGCTGATCTGGGCTGAATGCTGATGCTCTGAATCAGTTCACGAAGTGCTACTGGGCAGTAGGAAACCTTCCACAAGGTTTACTTATCTGTCCAAGGCTACGTCTACACTGCAGCAACAGAGGTAACCCAAAATAGCTATTCAGTGTCTTTTGAGCACACCTGTTATTTCAAAATATAATGGGCTCGCTATTCCAACGTCCCTGTAAACCTCATTCCACGAGGAGTAAGGGATGTTTTGGAACAGCGATCTATTTAAAAAGAAATCTTTGTAGACCGTGCCAGATTTCGAAATAAGCTAGTTTGAAATAACATCTAAATAAGATACACAATTTGCGTAGCTCAAATTGCACATCTTACTTTAACCTATGGTTCAGTGTAGATGCACCCCAAGTGGAAGCACTTTTCTATTTGGTCCCCACAGAAGGGGATTCCTCCACCGCAAGCTCCAGTCACTGTCCTCTGGATTACCTGTTGGATCTAAGGTGACAGGGTCTGGCCACATATTTAGTCTGGTTCACCTGGTGGCCATTTCTGCCTTTCACCAGGGGGCACGAGGGAAATGGATCTACACCAACCCATTAGTAAGCTGCTTCATTAAAGGTCTAGACAAGTTGTACCCTCACATATGCCAGCCTTTTCTCCCTGGGACTGGAACCTGGTTTTCACAAGGCTCATGGCTCCACAGTTAGTCATTCACAACATGTCCCTGCTACACCTGTCGTGGAAAATAACCTTTCTTGTGGCTGTTATGGGTGGATGTGGGGCTGCACTCGCCAGCTGGGCCCTCTGGTTAACTGATTACCAGATAAGCATGCTGGTAAGATTAATGCTTACTGGGTAACTGATTCACCATTAAGCCTTTCACATCCCTAGTCCATAGTCACATCGTCTTGATTGAGAATCCTGCCTCCCCAGTTCTCACACAACTTCCTCCTCCCTGTGACCTGCATTGTCCCAGAGAAACACATCTATCTCTGGTTCATAGACAGTGTTCAGTATGTGATTCTAATAATTGCTTTGAAAATTAGTAACCAAGGCTTAAACTGGCATCGAACCTAGGGATGTTGGTGTGTATCCATGTACGTACATGATAAGCCTGGGCTCATCAGTTAATTGTAATGGTTACATGCAAACTCCCACTCCCTTGCTGCCTCTCACAGAGGCAGCAGCATAGCGGGGAGAGCAAGCAGGAGCTGGTACACACTGGAAGCTGGCACCCACAGAGCTGCCTGTTTTCCCCCTTTTACCCTCCCCTCCAGCCCTGCTCCCACAGAGGCAGTAGCATGGGGTGAGAAGGCGGGAGCTGGTACTCATGTGGAGCCAGCTTAGAAGCTGGCACCTTGTGAACACTAGCTATCACCTGCCCCCCTGTGTGTAAACACGTAACTGCTAAAAATTTCAGTGGTTACGTGTTTACACAAGTTAGGGATGTTAAAAATCATTTATCAAAGCTGACTGGGAGGCTGTGGAAGTACTTGAGTATGGGCTGTGTGTAGAAGAGATTGCCAGCAGGATCATATGTTCTGATTTCAAATTCAGCTTCAAATGCAGTGAATTATGAATTCTAGAGTGGAGCAGACTGATGTGTGGATCTCTGTGGCCAATTTCTTGTCTCTGGCTAAGGAACGACATTTCCTGCCAAGCTGGAGATGGGGTAGGGATTTTTACCTACTATGCTACTTAGTTAGCTGAGGTTAGTGAGGAATCAAGCAGGACTCTGAGGCTCTATGCCATTTTGAATTAGGGATGTTAAAATGTGTTTAATTGTGTAACTGCTGAAAATGTTAATGGTTGCACACAAGGTACAAGCAGCTGCTGCCTGCACTGCTGTCTCTGTAATGGGTGGCGGGGAGCTCTGTGTGTAACCGTGCAGGTTAACTGATGAGCCCAGTGAACAGTGTAAATAGTTACTTTCACATCCCTACTTTGAATGGGGACTGAGAGACTTTAACAAAAGGTGGAGACACTTGGGTAATTCTTCAAGGTGTTTCCCCTTTCAGAGCAGCATTGCTTTGCTCTTTGCTGAGTGCATTGCAGAGCTGACTTGTAGGCACAACGATGTTTCAGTAGTGGTTATTTCACCAGTTGCAAATGAGATGGGCAGCTGAATGTCATCTGCGTACCATGGACAGTTGAGCCCATGGCATCTCGCTATCTCAGTAAGAGGAGAAGGAGGGGGTATGGATTGTGGGTAGAACCCTACAGATACCTGCGTTATTTCCATGGACCATGTTTGCAAATTGGCTGCTGATAAAACTTTGTATCCACTTACTATATTTTGATACAGCGTGTCAGGCTACAGAGAAGTCCAGCACTGTGGGCACAGAAATATTGCTTGTGTCCATGGCCATAAGAGCTGTCTCTGTTGCGTGCTGGTTGTGAGGCATTCAGGGTGTTAGCTGATGTCACTTGTGGCTGAAGCTTGTTACTACTTCTCTCTTCCAATGTGCTGTTGTGAATCAATTAATTTATGCTGAAGCCTGGGATATGCAGTAGGGATGTTTAAATGCATTTAAGTAAACATGTAACCAGCTTTTAAGCTGGTTCCCCATGTGAGCGCCAGCTCCTGCCTGCCCCTTCCCCACATTGCAGCGCAGGAGTCGGGGGTTGGAGGCAGGTGGGAGCCGGAATAGGCAGGAAGCTGGCTTTTGTGTACTGGCTCCCAGGGAACTGCCTGCCTCCCTTGCTGCTGTCTCTGTTATCAGGGCGGGGGCAGGGGGAGAGGTGGGAGCTGTTACACACAGGAAACTGGCTTTGTTGGCTCCCCGCAAAGCACCAGTTCCCACCTGCCCCCCAGATGTAAATGTGTAACCGCTAAAAATTCAGTGATTACACATTTACACAAATACATGATTATTAACGAGTTGAACCTTGCTTTGTGTGACATTAAGTAAATCACTTAACCGCTTTCCTACTCAGTTTTCCTCTCAGTAAAATTTGGGAATCTTATTTTGCTGGAAAGCTCTTTAAGAGCTTCAGATGATATTTTGTATTTCTTACTATTTATACTATTAAGCTATCGTGAAGCACATTAGTCCAAGCTCAGAGCAGCTCTTCTGTTCTTGAGTAGATTTTTTTCAACTTGGTTTTACTATAAAAATTCTCAGCATGTAAACTGTAAAAATGTTTCTCTTGAAGCTATAAAACTATAAACTGAAGAACAGTGCATGTTGTGCATATATTCAGTGGGTTAGATTGGTACTAATTAAGCAACTATTAACCAAGTAGGGATGTTAAAACTTCTAAAAACATTAACCGTGTAACCAATTAAAACAGGAGATTATCCGATAAGCATCACTTGATGTGTTAACCAGCTAAACTTTTACATCCCTAGTTCCAAGGCTGACCAGCTGTGTATATGAAAAATAAGAATTGAATTTACTGGTGGCATTATTCTAACTTTTTTCTGTTGTTGCAAAAAAGCAAAAGCAAAAATAGATAACTTCAACTATTTGAAAAGGCTCTTCTTTGAATTAAAATCTGACTAATTTCATTTTAACTGTGTTCAGCAAGACAAAATATGGAATAATATTCTATAGTGAAAGAAATTGAATTATGATCTTTTTTAGAATCTTGGTTTTTTTAGATCAGGAGAGAGAACGTTGATACCAGTTTAACTAGTTGACAAAATAGTTGCATTTATTTGGATGCTGTTCTATTTACAATAGAACCTCTGTGGCCGGCGTCCCATGGGGGGACAGGGAGAAACAGGGGACAATGATTTAAAAGGGTCTGGAGCTCCAGGTCGCCACCACTACAGCAGAAACAGCAGCAGCCCTTTATATTGCCACTGGAGCTGTGGGCGGCATGTACCAAGAAGTGATGAAGGGCAGGCTGGGGGAGGCTAGTCCCACCCTTGCCGTCCAATTCTCCACCCCTTCCAGGAGACCAAAAGTTCACTTTTTTTTTTAATTGTATCCTTTGGTATATATGGTTGTGACTATTTTCTTCCACTATTTTATCTGAGGAAGTGGGTCTGGCCCACGAAAGCTCATCATCTAATAAACCATCTTGTTAGTCTTTAAAGTGCTACATAGTCCTGTATTTTGTTTCAGCTACACCAGACTAACACGGCTACATTTCTATCACCTTATCCAGGGTCTGGCAAAGTCTGTTGACCAACCTGCAATCTTCCTCTATTTATTGTTTCTCTTTGTAATTAAAAAAATTCTAGACACCAGTAATTAAATTCAAACATCTGGTCTTAAAATAATGTTACAGTTTCAATTTTAAGCTTACACAAGCTGGAAAATTATATAGCTGAACAAACACCATGAGCATTTTTTACCCTGGTGCAGCATTTTTCTCTTCTCCCTTCCTTTTTAAATGTGGTAAGTCTACTCTTTTTGTTATGAAAGTGTATCGTAAAATGTACAGGATATGAAATATGACTGAGCTACTGTTGTCACAACCTTCAGTTTGGAAACTTCTTCACTGAGTCCCAGGTCTTACAAACTTAAATTTACTTTTTATATTTAACTTGCTATAAAACTGACACATCTTGTGTGTTACCAATGATTTGAATTAAAATGCTCAACAGCTTCAGTAGCATGATTACAAGTAGGTGGAGATATCTTGTGCTGGTTTTCCCTTATAGTTGTATTGCTGCACAAACAGATGTTAGTCCCATTTTTTCCTACTAGGTAGTGCGATGTTTTTCCTGAAATTCTGGTTTTGAGACTAGAGTAAAGGGGTTATAAAATCTTTTGAACATACTAAACCAAAAGTAAGATTAAAGGGACAATGTTAATATAGAGCAATGAGAAATGCAGCTTTTAAAATCTCCTTTTGGTACAAGTAACGCTGAAGATTACAGTAAAGGAAAGGTTAATGTAACATCCATCTATGCAGAAGAGATATAAACTCAGTGTTGTCAGATGCAGGCAGTCAGGCTGCTTCTTCTATGTGCTTCTGTCCAAAAATCTCATTGGAGAAATTTTTTACTGGAAAATGTAATGATAAAATTACACAATGTGCAGTGGAACTCAAGGCAGACATGGTAGCTGGAACAGCTCTGAATTATTTTTAAAGTGACTAGATTTCAAGTAAGCAGTGTCCTAGAATGTGGGTAATATATTTCCAAAGAAATCTTCTGCAAAGGCTTTCTAAAAACAGCTATCC